ACTTAAAATGTTATTTCGACACGTTACTTAATTTCTTTCTAAAAAGTTTTTTCTTTATCTGAAACCTAGGCAAGTATCTCCTGCTTTATATAACTCAAAGTTGATTCAGCAGCTTAACTTTGATATACAACAAAGAGATTTCAAAATTATGAAATAGGTGAATACACACCAACAAAAATAAGTTAAAATCACATTATGTTTGTAGAGGTTAAGGACTTTGCACATAGTTGCACAACTAGTATATTACAAGCTGGGGCTTAAAATCTGAGTTTTCTGTCTCCAAAACCTGAGTTTATAATTATTTCACTATACTATTCCTCAAAAGTGAAAAATGGAAAAAACAGGGAAATTTTAACATTAAATCTGACTCCCATAACCCCCATGTCTGCTCATGACTGAATCTTCTGGAAAAAATCGGGGAATGTCCTAAATTTTGAGCATTGCCTAATTTTAGCCACTCATATTTAAATGTGTAAGTAAAATCATAGAAATATGATATAGGTGACAGTCTCTTTGAAAATGACAAATCAAATCAGTTCAGGATTTTTACACATATAAGCCAGCTCCTTAAAGTGAAAATGCATAGTTCACATATTTCTGTAGGAAGCAATATATTCTTTGTCTCCAAGCAAGACTGGTGATTTTGCACCTCTACCAGTTACCATATAAGAAAAATGGGCAGAAGAACAGACAGCTTGCTTGACCCATGCACACTACTTGCTTCTGTTTTGCTCTGTGACTTTACTTTTGGCTCATGTAAGGAGCTCTGGTAGCATAGTGCCTAAGGCACTTGACTGCTAACCAGAAGGCTGGCTGTTCAAACCCACTAGCCACTCCTTGGAAGGAAGGTGGGCAATCTACTTCCTTAGTGATACCACCTCAGAAACCCAAGGAGGGGTCTCGATGAATCAACAACAATAACAACAGGTCTTGTCTGTAAAACTAAAGACCTATTGTCAAAGATCCCTTAGTGTCCTTTCTTCTATGACGTCCTTTTTAGAATTCAACTCACTTTATCCTTGACCAAAGTTCTGTTGTTCCTCCAAAGAGTTATAATGGTCATTTGTAATGTATAATGTGTAGTTCTCCAATAAATAAAGCCAACTGTTTTTTTTTTTTTTTTAATTCTGTTACTTTCATCTTAATTTTCTAGAATATGCCATCCTACCCTCAACAGGCAGCCAGATCATCCTTGAACTTACTACTTCTTAATCCAATGATATCTTGGTCTATAAAGTTCACAGAAAACTATGTTTTCAAATGCTTATTACTACATTGTCTTAAGCAGGAGTAGAAATATTTTCAACAAATATTACATATTTATGCAGGATAATGAGAAGGGAGAAATAGTTTACTCACATATGTTCTTCTGCACTTACTTGAGTCTGTATTTTCCTTTATAGTTGTTTTCTGTCCTCTCTTTATTGAAATTCCAGTTATTACAGAACTATTTAAGTGTTTTCCTTGCAACATCCCAACTTGGCATTTTCCTCAGCTCAGTTCATTAGTATTTCTGATGAGTGTTGCTTTCTATTTTCTACCAGTTTATACAGAGAAATAACCCCACTTTGTACCACTTTCTAAGCTTTTGCCACTCGTGACTCCACCAGCTAAAGAAACAGTATCATTCATAGAGAAAAATTTGAAGATAGGAAGAATATTTTGTTTTTCAAAACGACTCAAATGATAGTCTATACAGATCCTATATTATATCACCAAATTATTTCTGAAGATTGTCAGGCTCAAATGCTAAATAAAATTCTAGGTAAAGGACTGTTTCTGAAGAGGCATTCATTTTCTCTCAAGGTATTGTTTGTTCTATGTAAAATCAAATCAAACCCATTGCCATTGAGTGGATTTTGACTTATAGCACACCACATGGGAAATTAGATTTTAGGGTTTCCATGGGGTTCCAATGGTCGCAAATTGTTATGGAAGCAAAGTGCCATATATTCCTCCCAAGGAGTGACTTGTGGGTTCAAACTGTCTATTTTTTGGTTAGCAGCTGAATGGTTTAACTACTGCATCACCAAGTTACTTATTTATGTTTCCAAGTAATCAACTTACCATCCTTTTAGATTCAAGTTACTAAAGTGACTTCACAGCTAGATTATAAATATTCTGCCAACAAAAATTAACTCCACGTCATACTGAGTCCCTTTCATTACCCAATTCCAAAGAGCCTTGGGGACTGTGATCTGTGTTTTTGCAATTAAAGTTTCCCCCTTTCTATAATTTGTGGACTGAGCTAAAGTTTGGTCC